AGAAAGCTATCTAGATTCGTGAAACGGGACCCATTTTTACTCGTTTACTTCCGCGCTGGACGAGATTCTATGATAGATGACCTCATCAACCCGAACACCTTGCTCTGCTTCTCTACTCTCTCTCTCTAGTTTCGCACTCGGGATGAGCGTTTCCTTTTTTCCGACGGTCGATTAAAGGCAAACTTTGCGCGTTGAACCGTTACCACTTGACACACCACTATTCGCAGCTGCTTCCAAGTAAATGCCTGACGGCTTTATGTACAGCTATATATAAAGCTACTGAAACAGCAAATTTCACACACCTTCGTTTATTTCGTGCTCTTCTTCTTAAAAACCAGAGAAATTCCCCTCAACCAAAAAAAGCCCAATATTTTCAAATACGATGATTTTTTGCAATACCACGACAACCTCCAGAAACCATAAGTGCGATACCGCCAAAAACCACGAATAAGATACCCTAGTTGGTAGAGTCACCAGCAGATTGCCTTAGTTGTGCCCCATGTCTCGCATCCGTACACCAAAAGCCGGTCAGACAGGGGTACTGAACACTAGAGCTCGGATCCGAGCCTAGAGCTACTTTTCGTTGAGATCACCACGGTATTTGTTAACGCGGCCTCACCTGCCACAAGTATAATGCAATAGTACCCACCAAAGACCACCAATACTACTGCTATTATCATCGCTGTGCTAAGTGATCTTTTTCAGGAAAGAAATCTCATTGGAAATTCATATGAGCAAACTGCATAGTCTAACCCTGAATGGTCGAAAAATTGAGAAAAAATACGAATGTAGATCTTGTCAGAGGCGCTTCGGCATTATGAAAGAATTGAAGGTGAGCGATTCATCTTTTCCAGGCGGTGAATAATTATTTTTGAATTGCATCAAGACCACGTCGTTTTTTTTCAACTTTCGGAAAGAGTATCGTAGAATTGGAGCAGCTGTAGTTGAAAGGGAAATCTACCAACGGCGCATCTGGGACAGTTGTGATGAGAATTTTTCAGGTGCGATATTGCACCCGAAAAAAATATGGCAGGTCCACTAGTTGTGAGGAGAGCAAATAACACCCTCCATGGATCCTTGAAGGAGGCTTCCACGATGAGGTAGGAGGGCGAAGGGGGTATCTACCTAGTGGAAAGACAGGTAGACCCCATATGTATGAGGCTCGGCACGCTAATTCGCAGCAAAAGATATGCCCCGCCGACCTAGCATAGCCCTCCCCGAGGCGCTATCGGCGAGGCACGCCCACCGATAACCACTCCCTCGCTCTGAACGCCTAGCAAAGAGAGCGTTAGCGTTAAATAGGGCAGTACTAATGAGAGTCGCATCATCGAAATTAAGGGACAAGGAAGGGGTCTTATTTCTCGAGTTTCGGGCCCTTTCTCATAGTTTTTTCTTACCCGGCACCAGTGACCACCTCTACCTCGAATATAATGGACCCACAATATAATGGAATCGTAAACTCCGCCTTGTACGCTGATCGCATGGGTGGAGTTTGATGCAAGCTCTGCGCTTCGCCCTCCTCATTCGTCAACCTTTTCCTCGATACAAGTAAAATGGGGGTTTGGTCAACGGGAAGGTCAGTTGGGCGTTGTGGTAAAGCATCGATCTCCGCTCAAACGATCAACCCGCAATGTGGTTTCAGGAGTTAGCCAATTACTCAAACATAATTATTTTTTTGGGGATACCCTAGGGCCAGCGCGGCTCTTCTTTCGAAGAATTCCACTTGCGAATTTAATCGATGCCTTCCCTTCTTATTGAATGGAGGGTCGAGAGAGGAGGTGGAAGGGGGGAACACGATAAGCTCTTCAATGGCCACAAAAGTTGAATGAATTTCCTTGGGAGCTATTTCTTACATTTTCCAAAACTCTATGGCTAGGACGGAAATCAGCAAGACTTTTCAGAGGCACCATACTTATTGTGAAGCAAGGCAAAGGATTGCTGCAGAGCGACGGAAACTCCGAGAAAAGATCATTGCAGCTTTATTGCACAGCACTTCATCTTCATGTTCGGTTAGGGTAGAAAAAGAAAAAGCAGTCGTTGTAACTCGTCCAGTAAAAGGTGAGCTTTGGAAGCCAGATGAACCATCTGCTGGCACATAGTTTCAAACGAAAGGGCGTCGCAATTATTTGCGATTTTGGGAAGGTGGGGAGAGGTCGCATTTTGGAGTTTGGCAAGGTCAACTATGTTCCTATGGGGAAATGTGAATGGGGGTGTCTTTGCTGGGTTTTCGACTGGTTTCAGCTCAAGTTCCATGAAGTAAAGTCAACCACTTCTCCCCCCTCCCCGACCGCAGCTCAGCCCCATTTCGCCACCCTGCACGAATCTTAAAGCAACAGTTCAGGAACGGTTTCGCGGGAAAAAACCACCAATAATGAAGTTGTAGATGAAAACCAGACGATTAATGTATGAAAAACTGGAAAAAAACGTCGGGGAGGGTCTTAGACAGGTACTCTCCCTCTGCCGCTCAGCAATGGATAAAGACGCACGTTGGACGAGTTGTCTGAACGTGCCCGCTGTAAACGCGCTCCATTTTTCAATCAATTTTCCCTGTGGTCCCAAAACGAGCACGATTGCCGACGCGTCCAATGACGGCCGGCAAGGGGGCGGGATTGGGGAAATCCCCAAGAACACCCATGTTTGAGGGACTTTCCACCCTGTTTTTGAGTTTCTGAGGTAAGTTCGTTTATTATTTCCACTGCATATGTTCTTCACTAGGGCTCGTGTATCCCTCAGTAGTAGTGGCATTGAAATTTTCGGACCCTCCCTGAACTGTTGCTTTAATTCGTACCTATCGTGTCTGAAGTTGTGAAATCCCTTGTAAAGGTTTTCCAGACAATCCCGTGTCCTTTCTGTACGTTCGTATTCAGTACAATGCAGTCACGATGGCGTCATATACTTGCGAAACATAAGCGCAGGAAAAATGACCCCAGAGTGAAAGAAAAATATTTACCAGTTTCTTCTGTAAGTGCTCCTTCTATGGAAGTTCTCAATTATTATTTAGCACTCATCCCATTCCTTCAGGCTGCATTTCCGATTTTCCTGCAATATTTGCTTGAAATGCTTTTGCTTCTCATGCTTCCATGACCCTTCACCACAGGAGAATACACGAAAACGTTAAAATACATGAGTGTTCCACATGTGGGAAAAGGGTACGTTCATTTTTATTATTGGTGGGTATTGCCTTCGCCGATTTGGCTATTAGCCAACAGGAATTCTGTGCTAGGAACGTGTAACAGAAAATTAATTACAACTGTATTGACGAAGAATCAACAATAATAGTGACAATCAGGTTTAGGGTTCGCTGATGATAAGGAACATCTGGGCGTAGCTCTGATAGCGTTATTTTCATTCGGTTCTGGAGGCGGGGCTGGTTCGGTCTCAGACGTTAGCAGCAGAGGAGCGCATGGTGGCTGTCAGCGCAGTACCTGAGTTGCGTTGAAGCGAGCTTCACCTCTGTTGATCGGTGGCATGCCCACCAAAAACAGGGCGGCATTGCCCGCCTCTGCTTGCCGAGCCGCCTAGTTGAACAGGGAATAGATTGGGTGGAAGTGGGCACTGGGCTGTAGATTCAGACCGGAAGTCTCCCCACGGTGGGCGGGGCGTTCTCCAATTGTGCCGGCACTCGCCATAAAGCTCTGTGACATTCGGAAAAGTGAGAATAAAAAGTGGTGGAGACGAGCACACCCTGAGCTATTCTAAGCGTAAATGCATGGGCAGAGAACCGCCCACATACGTGGAGCGTCTGCGTTACCTGCTCGAAAGTTCCACAGCTGCTCAGTTCCGAGGCCGCTCGAAGACCACAAGAAATGGGGACGGTACTAGTAGCCCAAGCGCTAATGAACGGGCAGAGAGCCGCCCTCTACACGTAGAGCGTTTGCCCAATCTGCTCCGATGTTTCACTTTTTCCAAGGTCGCCCGTAGACCGTAAAAATGCGTGCAGGGGCTACCGAAGCACGTCTAGGTCAAATGCGAACGGTAATTAGACCGATCTTCATAATGGTGGGCAAAACTCAAGCCGAAGCTTTTAGATGCCCCGTTATATATCGTTGTAAAAGCGTGTTGTAGGTGCGACAGCGTTTGGCTCAAGTTACTCCGCTTATGATAAAGCAGGGTTCTGTCTGGGTTGACCATCTCAAAGATACTTACCCTTGCGTTTTTCCCTTCGATTAGCAGATAAGTTGAACTACCATAATGTCAGGTCAGACGTTACTCCAGAAAATGACCATACTGCTTACAAGTCAATAAAAAAGGCGCTCATGTCCTTAGGGGGGGGGACATTCAAAACAGGGCATTCAAAAACCGCTGGTAGGTGACACTAGGACTAAGCCCAGGATTGGGAATAAACACCAGGGAGAACAATGGTTGCTCACATCCTCTCCCAGAATCCTTTCCCCTCCCTAAGGCTTAGTCCCGAGTTCTATGAGTGGCCCACTCACTTCAATGTCCCCCATAAGAACAGGAGCGCCATGAAAATATTCACAATAGCTTTTTCATTTTTCAGGTATCCGCTACCGAGCGAGCTGAGAAAGCATATCAGAAGAGTGCACGAGACGCCTAAGAAGGTTAGTGTCATGAAAAGTTGTGGTACTATCTTTGTTGTTGGGTAAAAAACAGCGCTCTAGGTAAAACTTAATTTGTGCTTGCATAAGCGCAAAACTGTTGCCTACCAGGTTCAAACTTTTAGCTCTGGATTCTGCTGAGTCAGCCAGTGGATTCTTTGAGTTGTCTAGCTGACGACAACGATAATCCAGGTGTTTATGCCCAAATGTGGCCCCAATGAGAGGCTAAAAGAGTCATCAGGGATCTCGTCACAGTAGTGACCTTCAGCTACTTTTATACAGTGTTGTTTAACAGTACTTCGGTGCTGTTAAGCATGAGTATTTCGAAATTTACTGTACTGAATTTGCTGACACTTTGCAGAAGGAAAGTCAAAATACAAAGAGGATGGCGGAAACAAAGACTGAACAACTAATGTCGAAACCTTCTATGAATACCGTTGAAGCTAAAATGTCTTACGGCTAACGGCGACGTTCAAGAACACCAGGTAATTGGTGATAAATTCGCTTTTCTACAAGCATTTTAAGGAAATCCAGCTGTACGCTCATATGAGAGGGTTTGAAAAAATGAGAGCCTGAATAGAGAGCTCCAGAGGGCTCGTATGATATGCTAGGACTCGGATAATGAGGTCCACACTTTCCAGAGGCACGCCATCAGATGTGTTTTCGACCGTTTGTTTCGAATCCACTTTCAAATTTTACCAAACGAACCTGGCTCCTTTCCGAAATTCCTTGTCCCGTGTATTACAGAAATGTGACCCCATTTACTTTATACGACCTCTCCCCTAACAATGTTAACTAGAAGCCTTTAAAGTATAGGTTGGAAAGAATAAATAAGTAGAAATGAACAATACTATTGTAAAAAACCTGAAGTAAATTTCAAAAAAATGTGCCATGTCAACAGTAGTGTGTTAAGGCAGTGAACCAGAACGAGGGACTTCGCGAGGTCAAATCTGAAATAGAAGCTCTAGCAAGCAGAAGCGGTGATGTTCCAGTCAAGGTTACGGTATACTTCACTATTACTATCACCACATTATAGCACAATCTAGGGGCCATGGTGAGTAACGGTCGAGGAATTCCTCGGCCATGGCTGTGTTCTGTGCGAAAGTAGTGGCCGAGAGCGAACATACGCGCGGAGAGCACAGATAGCTCGCGCATGGCGAGTGTGAATGTGGGCGCGGGAGGCTAACTGATCAGACGAAAATCCTCGACAAGCCTTGAGGAATCCTCGACGGTATCCACCCTGCTTGTTTCTGTGTGAAAATCTGTGGGAGGGCTACTGCAATTTCTGGTGGAGCCCTGGAACTCTTCTGAATCCTATAATAGGTACAATCAGCTATTATTTTTAATGAATCAATCCCTCTTCGACCTAGTAGGCTCAACCCAAAACGCATAGATCCTGCTGATTTCTGAGCTCAAAACGCGTGGAAATGTGCCACTGCACGAAACAACCATAAGTCCACGCTCTGTATGGCGATGTCAGACTTTGCGAATCGCGCGATTCGCTACTAGCGATTCGCGCGATTCGCTAGCGTCCGCGGTCGCGTTGCGGTACCAGCCAATTGAGTGATTCACTGGCCGCGACGCGACCGCAGACGCTAGCGAATCGCGCGATTCGCAAAGTCTGACATCGGCCTACCGTGGTGAATGTGTTGGTCTCGAGTTTTGCTCTCCTCCTCTCTGTCCTCTCTCGTCTGCGAATCTGCTATCTGTCCGAAGCGCCCGCTGTTTCCCTGAATTTTTGCTTCCGCGAAACCCACCCATCTTCTTCAGGAGCTGTAGATCCGCGCACTGCTCTCTCCGAAAAGAGAAAGTTCTTGTTCGCAGTCCAACCAACCCTTCTTTTATTTTTTCGTCGCTGGCGATCCATTCCGGCACCTTTACTTTCATTTTCGAATGCACTGACCACATCAAAATGATCGTGGTATGTGGCCTTTAAGTTCGATGTCGTCCAGTAGATAGGTGGCGTTCTGCTGCAAATTGGCCGTGATTTTTAAATTTTGTTCAGTAAGCGTGCTTTGGGTTTTTGGCTGTTTCCGTGGGACGACCACGTCGCCATTTTACCGTAATGTTTATAGAATTGCCAGAGCAGAAGTGTTGTAGCGGCAAGGGGCGCCAGTTACCACAAGCACGATTTGTGGTCCAATCCCGGATCGAATAATGTTTAGGCCAAGCGAATCTTCCATGCCTTGAGGCATGCTATATGGTGCCATTGTGTTAGCAGGTGTTTCGGTGTACAAAACGGGTGAAGATTATCTCTTCAAGTAATGTAAACGCAAAATCGATCCAAACGCTACGGCCGCTCAATGAAAGTAGAAAGCGTGGCGCACACCAAAAATTAATTTAATGCCATGTGCTTCGTGTATACAGACTTAAAGAATTTTTTTGTAGATACGTCGGTGAGTAAAAAGAAGAAAAGGACAAAGAAGGAGGAGCATTTGGAGGTTTACTGCCATTGTAGACAGGTATGATCCTATAGTTGGCTATAGAAATAGTTATAGTTCATCTTGATCAGGTTTATACAAAAAATGTGGGCTAACCAAAAGATGCACAATTCGAAGTGTACGATGTTGACGTTTGGCTCCCTGAAGGGGTCTTATTTGTGATTTGAGCGGTGGGTTGTACTTGGCGAAATGAGCCTTGTATTTTGTGATGAGATGCGCAGAAAAATTCATGAGATCTATAGGATGGGGTTTTACGAACTTTAGAAAAATTTCGAAAATTTTCCCGTTTCATAAGTCATAGATAAACGCTTACCTCCCTACCCCATGCTCGGATGTGTGATTGGACGTAGAAATATACTCTGTTTCATGCAGCCAGAAATCCACGTGGCACACGTGGCTAAATTCTCGATGAAAAGGTGACATCACGTGTGCTCAAAGATGTTCTTGAATCGATGCCACGTTAATGCCACGTCAATTTCTGCAATTGCACAATTTCTGGTCATTTGAAGGCGAGGGTAGACATGTGCGATTGCTTACTGTTTAGCCCCCGTCTGTCTAGACGAAGGGAAGCGACATGTCGCACCAACCCTGACTCAGACGCCAGGTGGTAGACGTGAATTGGTGTATTTCAATCTCTAGGCCCTTTCGTTTTGAAATTCCAAAAATGGGTAGTAGCTGGAGTCTCAGATGTTACCAACTTAATACAAGTAAAAGATAAAGAAAAATCGTTGTGGATAGAACTTTTAACCCAGTGTTGCGGGAAAACCATGAAATATTCAATAAATAATAGTTTATATTCATCGTCACCACAGGTAACGTACCCAATCAAAATTGCGTCCAGCAGAGTCGAAAAGTGCGTAAATTGATGGACTTCTGAGCCCTCTCTACGCAGGGGGCATCGTTTTGCGAAGAGCTTAACACACTTGGGGCATTCCACACCCCTTAGGACTATGCCTTAGGGGGATTAAGTGGGGATGGAGCGTGCAGCGATTTTCATGTTCATCCCCTCCTTTTGGGCTCAGTCCGCTTAGCGATGCCCTTCCCCTACCCCCTCCGTTAGTGCACTCCAGCCGCAAAGAACTGATCATTTTGTTAGCGGGCAGCTAAAAATAAGTTTTTTTTTTCTAAGCCCGGCGCCTGTGGAATACAAACAATAAGTCCGCAATTGCGAAGCGTCCTGCT